GTTTCTCAGTTTCTGAGAAACCCCCCTTGTTGGGCACCCTCTTCGTCTTCGTTAGACGAGGAATAGACGTCTTCTTGGTCGTCCAACATCTTTCCCACTGCTTTGAGCGTGTCTTGCTCTATCACTACCATCGACTTCGCAAAGTTCGACTTTTACACAATTTGGAGCCTTGCCTGACCAAGTCTTCTCGGATCTCTTGGCAGGTGGTAACGATGGGCATTCCCCTTAGCACCACTCCCAGTGGCTTATCCTCCGGAAGGGAATATGTATGGTGCTCAATTTTGGCATCCTCTAGAGTTTTCCTGACCCTTCTGTATTCCTCGCTATCCTTTGGTTGGACTTTAATACCTGCACCTGTCAGTCGTGCAGGTTTCTCGATGGAGAGCATCTTCTTGCTTAGCATCTCCTCCACTGCTCTTCCTTGTGGATGTAGAGTGGTGGTGGCCTCTTCTCCTTCTTCTTGCTTCCCTCCGCCGTCGGAGATTTGGGGGTGGAAGACTGATCCATCGCATCCACTTCAGCTGGGTCTTGGTTGCCAACGTGGACGCTCCGTCATCGTTGTTTCGAGGTGCCTTCTTCCTAGGGGCTTCTCTCTTCTTTCCTTCTTCAGAGGAGGTGCTAGGCAGCCTTTTATTCTCCTTCTTTTGCGGTTTTTGCGAAACCGTCTTATCGTTTCCTTCAGGCTCTATTAGGTCATTGAGGTCTTCTACCTCAATTCCTTGCCTGAAGGCCATCAGCTGGATGAGCTTGCCGGCCTTTTCGCGCTCCTGTGCGCTCACCCTTCGCTCTTCCACCAATTGGCGGGTCGGGTCTGTTAATTGGCAGGATAGCTCGGCTATCTGCCTCTTTAGGTCCTCGTTTTCCTTCTTCATCATGTTGTTATTGCTCGTTTTGCGGTGACCAGCTTCCTCTTTCTCACTGGTTGAGGAATAGTTGGTTTCCTCGTCCGTCATTTTCTGGTGCACTGTCGACTTTTTTTAAAAGTCCGACTTTTACACAATTTCCAGTTGTGCCGCGCGCGCTGGAAACTGTATAATTTTTGTGCACTGGTGCCCTTTTGGGCTCACTGCACTTTGCCCGGATTGTTTGTTGCGTCCTTTCCCAGGCAATTTCAGATCCTGAGGAGTGGAGGGGAAAAGTAACTGGCTATTCCCCCCTTCCCACCCCTGGCTTGGAGTGAGGCTAGGTGGCTCGAGTACTGCACATTTTTCGCTGAGTGTGTGCTGACGAGCGAACTACACTCTCCCTAATTTTGACCCTTTTTTTCTAAAATGGCTCGAGCGCGCACGCGTTATGGAAGAGCGTGGTGGACATTTCTTCCAACTGTCGGTCTCGACTTTTATGGACGACGGCCTCCTTCTTGGGGGTCCTTCGCTGTGGGCTTTGACCTAAGCCCCGCATTAAGGTTGTGGAGCCTTTGCTCTTTCCACGTCGACTGGAGTCAGTTACTCGTCAGTCAGTTGGCAGTTTGGCTTTGTCTCCTGAGGTTAACCTCGAGTCCGTGCTTAACTCCGGCCACCTCAATCGACAAACTTCTTTTTGTCCACCCGTTGTACACGGGCTGTTCCTTCCCCTCTTAAGCGTAAAACTATTCTGTCTTCTCCCTTTTCTCTTTGGCGTCATCAGCGGCTAGGGCCAATGGTCTTCTTGTTGCAGTTGGCTTTTCGATATTTTATCACCTTGTCGTTCATGGGTCGTAATCCAAGGCATCTTTAATCAGCTGATTTCGATGTCTTTCGTTCTTTTCGAAGAACTTTCAGGCCCTCTCTCTCATCTGGAGATGGTTCTCCGAGTTTCTTTTCCCAGGTGCTATGATGATGCTGATTCAAGGCGTCTCTTGCCTGTCTTGTCAGTTTGTTTGGCTCCCTGAGGTCCATGGGGTTCCTGGTCTCCTGGGCTAGTCTACGGGCTCTGTTTCTCTTGGTGATCTTGCGGTTTACCTTGTAAGGTAGATCCCTGAACCTGTTTAGTTGCGTCATATCTTCCTCGGAGCTTGCGGCTTCTAACGCAGCCTTAATTTTCCCTGCTAGGTCCGCGACCGCTTCCTCGATGTCTTTAGGGCTGTCATTCTGAAGCAATGGTACGAGTGCGTAGTGCAGCGTGATCCTGAATCGCTGCCGGTCACTCTCTTCACTGTTCTCTGTTCCACTGGTGTTGTCCCATCGCCCAAATGTAGAAAGATGGGGTTGTGATCCGAGCTTCCCTCTTGCCAGGCGCCGACGATGGTCGCGCGCAGGTCGATTTCTTTCAGAATCGCCATATCTATGATGTCTTGTCTTCCATTGCTGTGGTACAGTGTGGGGTCGTCAGGACCTATCATGGTGTTTCCAGGTTCATCTATTAGTCTTTCGAGAACAGCACCATGGCTGTTTCTCATGGTTTTGTACCCGATACCTTAAGCTCCGTTTTTGCAAAACTTTATATGGTTCAAACACGAATGAACGCAGACCGAACCGGTATCGCAGTGTATGTTTCGCTGTGACTGAGATTAAATCCGTAATATAATTCAAAAGAGCTAGCAAAAAGGACTATATGCAACTACAATTATATTAAAAAATGTAAAAAAAGTGAAAAAAGACACTCATATAACTTATGATTCGATATAGAAATAACTATTTAAAGAAAAAAAAAATTCTACATTAATTCAAATCCTGCGTCAATTGTTGGACACCATTTATATCAAGTACAGTTGCATAAGCAGAATATTCTTCGGCAATTTCAGTTATTTTGAAATGTTACTATCAGTTTCATTTTAGTGGCAATATAAGTACATTGATATGTAAGTTCATTTTCCTATACAAAACTAAATTATTCTATATTCTCTTTTGTACACTTATAGGTTAAATATACAACTATTACTTATTTTATATAAAACGTATGTATATACATATTGTTATAAACGATAGGTTTAATTAGGTACTATGTACTTATTTATCAAAAAATATTAAAGGATCAATGAGCAATGTGTTTCATTTTTTGTGTACAGATGCCTAAGAATAGGCTACTTGTATATAATTTATATGACATTTTCTGTGTTGCGTGCTGTAGCCCACTGGCCTCGCGCATCGCTGGTCGGTCATGACGTCACATGACATAAGTTCGGCCTTTGGACCCCGGCACTGACGCGGTCGGACAACACGACCATTTTGCATAACACATTCACCCTTAGCTCAAGCTGACCTGTCGCAATATAATATTGATGTGCGATATTATAGCGGAATGTAGTCTGAGATCGCACAGGAGGTGTATGTTCATCATTTGAAATAAAGAGTAGAGCAATAAATAATATGGGGAGATGTTGGCGCGAAATTATGATCTTTGACATTATGCCTATTCGTTTCTACAATCCTGACGACCACAGGTCCTTCGTAAAAGTAGTAGATTGGAGTCTTGTTACCAGGTTCACATAAACGCGAGGAGGTATACAAACTACTGCTATGAGATAAGAACGACATTCAAATCCACCGCATCGATACCTCTTGTCGTTTCTGCGATCCTGAAACAGACCTATACGATTCTGAAAATCGCATTGTCGTCCGGACTTTTCTCATAAATTTGGTGGACGTCACGTTGCTACCAGGATCACTGAAACTCGAGAAGAGATGTAAATCATACTCTGCTGCTGTGATGTTGGCGCGAAGTTTTGATCTTGACATCTAATCACTTACTCGGTTTTCCAATCCATCCTGAATATTGTAAAATTGGTAGATTGGAACTCGTTAGAGAGATATGTAAATGGCACTCTGCTCCTGCTCTGGGATAATCACGATATTCAAATCTATGGCATCTTGTCGTTTCTGCGATCCTGATACAAATCTATAAGTTTCTGAGATTTGCACTGTCGACCAGACTTTTTTCGTAAAATTTGTAGCCGACCAAGATTATCAATTTCTAAATTCGTTGAAATAATTCTTCATGCCGCCTACCCTTGTAAAAATTCGTTGTATCCATAAAATCGAAATAAACATAAAAACTAAGGACAGAACAAACACTCAACATCTCCAAAACAATCAGCGAACGCCAATGGAGGAGTTAAACCAAATTGATTTTTAGAGAACATAAATATACAATAGAACCGGATGCAATAAGTTGGGCCTTGTTGCATAAACTTGACGGAAGACTGTACGCTGACGGCACTCCTTGAGATGGGACAAGGGAAGGTAACTAGCCAATAGAGTTGAGTTCTAAAATTAAGTGTAACAATTATTGGTCAAATTAGTTTTCATGTTTAGAGAATTAGACGGCCATTGCAAAGGTTGTAAACTGGCCAACCAATGAGGAAACAAGGGTTGAACTTACTAAGTAAGATCGATGGAGGGGAAAATCCGCAACTGACCTCCGATTTTGAAAAACTTCAGTTCATCCCTTATCTTTGATTTTTACGGCTAAAAAAGTTGCTTTGATTTTCCTTCAGTTAGTGGCTGTTAATAAGTGTTGTGTTTGGTTAATTTGTGTCAAGTTGTGTTCACATCAGTAGCACTTTCAGTTACTTCAAAAGGGCTTATCCTTTCTTTTAATATAACGCTGAGCTAACTAAGCATTCTATACATTGCCTTGATTAATTAGCATTGTAAAGTTGAGATTCTTAAGTTTAAATATTTTTGCTATTAAATTCAAACTTATATTGTAAATTAAGTTTGCTTTAAATTAATCGTAATTCACTCCTCCAATGATCCTTTCCTCAGCTATGAGTTTTACGTTTCACATTGTCATGAGTGCTTATATATTTTGAGTCTGGAATTCAATTATCAATAAAAATTGTCTCTTCTAAGTTGACTTTTATTTAATTCGTTAACTGAAGCTAACTGAGTTCGGCGGTTCCGAAAGTATTCATTCGGGCGTTTACCACGTTCTCTGGATTACTTGAAGAACAGAGGAAGCATCATTCCACGTAAAGTGAGTGTTTCAATGAGTTAAGATTATATTACTTTATGTCAGGTTCTACGCGAGTCTACCTCCTATAGGAAGACAAGTAAAAGGTAACAGAATTGGAAATTCGAGCAGGCTCGGACCAATCTAGAAATTGAAGTATTGAATTGGGGATCCGAAGTCAAGGCTCGATGTTCAGAGGTCCGAGAGCCTCGGTCGAATGTCCTGTTACAGTATGTACATATGAGGAGCAAAAATTCAAAAGGAATAATATCCATTTTTGTATATTAAGAGAAAACCGAAGATTTCTGCCAACTCTAAAAAAAATGCGAGCGCTGGATTTTCTCTTCACAAACTCAAATGTTATGATCAGTTAAGTAAAAAACTATTTACAATGGAAATACTAATTTTAGCTTAGAGCTGTTATTGTTAAAAACAATTGGATAATGATCTTTTTGGTGCAAGCATGTGGATAAAAACCTATTTGAACAAAATATAATGGGATATTATCCCATTTGAATCTAACTAAGTAGAACTACTTGGAATAAGAATAATGATCATTGTTTGATTCAAAAATGTATTACAAAATCACAGAAATGTATGTCATATGGCTACTCCACCATCCTCTTCGTTGCAGTCACAATCGAAGCCATCATCCGAATCGGATTCAGGTATTGTTGTACCCACATTGCACTCTGCCAAAAAGTCTTTAAAGAAAGCCAGCCGCTCATCATGTTGCCAATTTTCATCGTACAGGAATAACAATGTTTTCAGATTTTTCAACTTATCTTCTTTTACTTTATTCTTTAATTCCTTTTTATTTAATTTAATTGCTTTTAAATGTCTCCCTCTTTTTGCAATTGATTCAAATTGTTTCGACGTATCATCAATCCTAAAGTTTAGTTCCATTTTAACTTTCACGACACCTTTATTGTCCTTATTAAAAATGATCCGTTTCATGTCCTTTATTCCAACTAACTTTTTTAGGTCTTTATCCAATGCCTTGTAGTCTTCAATAAACCAATCTTGGCCAAGAATTTTAACCGTACCAAATTCACTAAAAATTTCTCTGTATTCTTGGTCATTCATGATAACTTCAAAGGTCCTAAGACGTTTCTCTAATCTTCCGAACACCCTATCTGCTGGTAAAAATGAGTGACCTCTAACTGGGAAAGTGATTCTAATTTCTTGGAGGGAAGTAGGTGCTGCAGTCGTAAACCAAACGGCCAATGCGTACATTACATACGAATTCTTGTTTTGGCCTGCACAACCATCCGAAAACAATCTTAAGACTTGGCAATCTGGCAAGACATTCGAAGTGAGAAAATTAATCAAAGCAGAAGCTACTTCATTGGCCCCTCTCTTACCTTGGGTTTCGTTCCATGTATAAAAAAATGGTTGTTTGGTGCCGTAATCAGTGATGCAAATATTATAAAATGACAGCTGTCGTAAGTAATAAGATTCTCCTATGGGCAACTTTGGAATATTTTGCACCTGTTGCATATCGAAACAAAAAACTTGACTATTTGGTTCCTCCCGTTTCATTAAAATGTTGAACTGCTTGGCCCTCAATTTATGAATACGTAATTCCGTCATGACTTTCATTTTCTCAGCACCCTTGGAATCCGCAAGCTGCTTTTTTTTCCGGAAACAAAAACTGCAGACGTCAGATGCAGGGCGACCAAATCCAATATTAAAATTATTCCGGAAAATATTGTAGAAGAAACTTAATTTGACCTTCATATTGTCAGTTGTAGTCGAGTTGTACATTTTCCAGAGTCTGGTTATGTTTAGGTCTGCCGGTAGATACAGCCTTTTTGATTTCTTTCTATTATAGTGGCTCTCCCTTGCCTTCAGTTTTCCAATAAATTTAATTACACTGTCTCTCTTTAACTGATTTTTTGCTGAACGGTGGTCCCCTCCTCTATTTTCCTGGATATCTCTGCCTGACATGATATACCTAGTAATTGTATGCAGTCTCTTTAAAGAAATACTGAAGGAATTTACAAGCATTTTCTGACACACTCTGTATGTAGGACCGTTCATCGTATTCATCCTGTATTCTGCTGATAAGGCATGCTTCTGATCCCTACAGTTTGGTTTTATTTTTCGCGTCGCCTTCTAGGTATATGAACCTTACAAAAGTACGAAATTTGGCGGTCCTGTTTCACCTTGTCATTAGTATGGAAAACACGTTTTCTAGTTGCAATAATATCCCCTTCGGCAATTTTCATGCAATTATATGTAGGCCCATTGTGTGTACAAGGTCTCTCGAAGTTTTCGATATTTGGAAAATGATCCTGATATCTGAAATAATGAAACAAATACGTAAAGAGTATCCTAACCTCACTTTCGTAGCTTACCTTAAGCTCTTAGCTTTCTGTCGTTTACTTATAGTTCGCCCTCTCTTTCGACTACCCTCATTGCCCTCACTAACTAGGACTTCTTCAGAATCCATTATGTTAAGCATAAACAACGATTTGTACGCCTACGAGCTCATGAAACTACTTAGTAAACAATGCTCGGAGCAACGCGTGTATGGATAAAAACCTTTTTGGACCATTTTCGTACGTTTCATGCTATTCATACAGGATAAAGATCCATGTGAACCAAACGTAAATAAATCCCCCTTTGAAAATATAATTTTGAGGATAATATTCTTTTTGATTCAACATACGTATTTCGACAGCTAATTCACAAGGGATAAACATCACTTTGGAATGATACGAACGCTGCACTATAAAGATGTACATTCAATACACGTAACGCCATCTGTATCTCAAAATGAAATTTTTTGGATAATATCCCTTTTGAATTTTTGCTCCTCATATTTATGAGACGGTTAGAGCTTAATGCTATACGAACAGAAGCAATTTAGCAATTTTATTGCAACAACTAGGAGATTGTATGTATTGATTTTATTCTAAAATTTAATCTGTAGGTACTTCAGGGTTAAAAAAAGGATATAACGTTCGCTCCATTTGCGGTAAAAGAACTTGATCAAAAAATAAAAAATGATTGATTATTTACAAAAATAAAAACTATCTTTCAAATGTATATTCACTAGTCAACTGAGTAGTTCATAAATTCGTAACTACCCCGTCGAATCGTCTGAAAACATCCGAAACCGACTCGAGTCGCCATCTAGTGACCATAAGTCTAGCTAATTTAATTTCATTACATTCAATCTAAAGATTTTTACTTTATTATAAAGTAGCTTATGTTCTTGGCGCATAGGTAGCGCTAAATTTTTGGTATTGTAGTGATGAAAAAGTTGAATACAAAAAGATTCAATTAATTTTACCAAATCAAATGTTAGATTAGCCTCAATGTCATTTAACACTTAAATCAAATCCAAGCGAATAACCAAAATGTCTGTGTTATGTGCCGCGGTTATGATATGGTTCAAGATGACACACGGTTGATGACGTCAGTTACACGAATCGCTTGAACGCCTTGGTTTTAACCGCGGTTTTTGCAAGTTGTTTATTTTAGAAAAGCTCGTATATAATCTCTGATTATTTTTATTATCACTTAATAATCGGTGCTTTTTCGTCTACTCTAGTTTAAAAGAAACCTTTCATAATATTCATGGGAGAAATGTTTTCTTTTTCAGATTTTTTTAATTATTGAAATGTTATATCTATCCCGGGATACCGACGGCCCTTTTAGAACGTCAAAGCAGCAATTTTAGAATTATCATTTTTTTTTTCATGTTGTGCCACGATTTCGGGAAAAATTTCTTTTAGAGTCTGGTAGAATACAATTCAACAGTTGTCTTGCGTGGCCATGTTATCTTTACCCGGGCCAGATTTTCCTGATACGAATTTGCAAAACGATTTTTATTTTTGTAATGCAAATTTCCCAAATACTAAAATCAAATTCAAGCGGATAACCAAAAGAAAATGGTATTTACCATTTTGGGTTGGTATTTACCGATCCGTTCAAGCGAGTGTAGTTATCAGTTTGGTTATAAGATCCGTGACGTCATGAATCAGTTGTTATATGTCATAGTTATCACCGTAAAATTGTGGTATTTACCCAACTGAGGAGTTAATCAATTCCAAGCGGATAACCAAAATTTCCGTATTATGTACCGCGGTTATAATATGGTTCAAGATGACACACGGGATGGTGACGTCAGTTACTCGAATCGCTTGAACGCGTTGGTTTGAACCGCGGTTTGTTGCAAGTTGTTTATTTTAGAAAAGCGCCTATATAATTGTTTATTTTTATTATCACTTAATAATCGGTGCTTTTTCGTCTACAGCTGTATATTTAAAGTTTAAATAAGAAACCTTTCATAATATTCATGGGAGAAATGTTTTTTTCAGATTTTTTTTAAATGATGGAACTATGGCTTTGTAGCTATGATAACTTTCAATTCTCTAAAGTTTTCCGCATGTCAAAGAAAATATTTATTGATTCCACAGAAATGATGAAAAAAGATATTAGCAAAACTGTATACAGGTGGACATCATCATGAGTTTATATGGCCATATTTTAATATTCTTGTGGTATATATGGCTACACAGGATAGGTACTTTGTTAAGCATAGGAACTACATTTAATGTGTCCCCAATAACAGTGATGAGTATAACTAAAAAGGTGCTCCACTTTATGGTAAAACTCAAGTCAGCCTGTATCAAGTTGAAGTACAATAACAACATCCAATACCCGGCAAAATTCTAACTTGTCACATTTCAAATAATAACCAGAAATATAAAACAACAATCAAATTCAAGCGGATAACCAAATGGAAATGGTATTTACCATTTTGGGTTGGTATTTACCGATCCGTTCAAGCGAGTGTAGTTATCAGTTTGGTTATAAGATCCGTGACGTCACGAATCAGCTGTTATATGTCATAGTTATCACCGCAAAATTGTGGTATTTACCCAACTCAAAAGTAGTTTATATTTCTGGTTATTATTTGAAATGTGACAAGTTAGAATTTTGCCGGGTATTGGATATTGTTATTGTACTTCAGCTTCATTTTTGAGAAAAATGATACAGGCTGACTTCAGTTTTACCATAAAGTGGAACACCTTATTAGTTATACTCATTACGGTTGTTGGGGACACTTTAAATATAGTTCCTATGCTTAACAAAGTATCCTGTGTAGCCATATACCACAAGAATATTAAAATATGGCCATATAAACTCACTAGATGATATCCACCTGTATACGGTTTTGCTAATTTCTTTTTTCATCATTTCTGCTGAATCAATAAATGTTTTCTTTGACATGCGGAAAAATTTAGAGAATTGAAAGTTATCATAGCTACAAAGCCATAGTTCCATCATTTAAAAAAATCTGAAAAAAACATTTCTCCCATGAATATTATGAAAGGTTTCTTATTTAAACTTTAAATATACAGCTGTAGACGAAAAAGCACCGTATTAAGTGATAATAAAAATAAACAAATTATATAGGCGCTTTTCTAAAATAAACAACTTGCAACAAACCGCGGTTCAAACCAACGCGTTCAAGCGATTCGAGTAACTGACGTCACCATCCCGTGTGTCATCTTGAACCATATTATAACCGCGGTACATAATACGGAAATTTTGGTTATCCGCTTGGAATTGATTAACTCCTCAGTTGGGTAAATACCACAATTTTACGGTGATAACTATGACATATAACAACTGATTCATGACGTCACGGATCTTATAACCAAACTGATAACTACACTCGCTTGAACGCATCGGTAAATACCAACCAAAATGGTAAATACCATTTCTTTTGGTTATCCGCTTGAATTTGATTTTAGTATTTGGGAAATTTGCATTACAAAAATAAAAATCGTTTTGCAAATTCGTATCAGGAAAATCTGGCCCGGTAAAGATAACATGGCCACGCAAGACAACTGTTGAAATGTATTCTACCTGACTCTAAAAGACTATCCGCAGCGAAATTTTTCCCGAAATCGTGGCACAACATGAAAGAAAAAAAGGATAATTGTAAAATTGCTGCTTTGACGTTCTAAAAGGGCCGTCGGTATCCCGGGATAGATATATACGTTTCAACAATTGACCACGTTATTCTTGTCAACTGGATTGCGGTGTTGCCAGCTCATCGGACGGCTTGCTACCTCTGCTACTTTGCTGGAATGTTATAAAAAAAGTTTTATACGTACAAGAACAAGGAAAACCTGGTGGTGTCGATGTTAAAACGTCTGATGAGTACCAACGGAGCTATTTCGAACGTGAAAGAGTCAATTATCATTTGCATT